AGTATAGATACTTTACCGATTCAGTTATAGTTTGGTTTTTAAATTAATATTTGTCTTTTAGCTGGTTCAGATTCTTCAACAAACCAAAGAAGGTAAGCTAACAGCTCAAATTGTTTCCAACCCAATTCTGTCAGATTCTTAGAGATAAAACTGCTCTAGAAAAATCTAAAACACTGATAAAGATATTTACATTTTTTTAAAGGTTGAGTTTTCTGTTTAAGTTTGTTTTAAGTTAAGATAGATTGAAACTGTTCAATTGGAAACCTAAAGTGAACTGATAAAGTGAAGTTCAGAATTTCCCATAATCTATGATCAGTATTCATACAGTAGAACATTTACTGACTTCTAGCTTAATTGAAAAACTACAGTAAATCATATGCACTCACACACATCCATAAACTGATTAACAGTATCATTACCGGTAAGTAACTTTGGGTTTGGAGTCCTACTCAAAGATTTGCTGATGAAGGTTCCCAGTCATCCAGGTCATAGTCATTCCGTAAAAATTCAAAAAAAAATCCACTGGACTTGGTTTCCAAGATTTGAAGACCTCTCCAGGAAGCTTTCTCAATTCAAATGTCTGGATCCGCAGTGAGAAACGTCTTCAAATCTTGGAAACCAAGTCCAGTGGATATTTTTTTGAATTTTTACGGAATGCTCAAAGATTAAGAATCAGGACAGCTTTATTAGAAGATACTTTAACATAAGGTGGAACGACGCTGGAATCTAACTTACAACTTACAAATTGTTAGAAGAGTATCCTTCCTCACTGAGCTACAGAGTCCCAACTCTTCAAATTATGAATAAATGTTATAGAGTAACTGTGAGATTTAAATCAAAGTAATCATCAGTCTCACCATTTTTAAATATATATATTTTTTCTTTCTCTTTTAAAAGATTGAGCTTAGGTAGATTTGATGAAAAGAAGCTAAATCCTTTTTTCCATTTTATGTCCAAAGGAAACAGAAAACCAAATCTATGTCAACACTGTGATGGAGACCAAGACATGAGGAGCCACAAGGAGGCCAGAGGGCATCATACAGCAGGATGATTTCTGATATCTTTTAATTCATCTATTCTCTGTTTAATTGTTCGAGTTAAGAGGCTCCTTATTATCTGCTGTGGCCAAAAAGCTTAAAGAATCCTAATCAGGTCATTTATAGATATAATGTGCAAAAGAAAGGACTTATTTTTTTATTCATTTTTGTTATTTGTTTCTGCATTTATATTTTTTATACATTTAATTAATGACAATGTTTGGTGGATTACTAAGTTGTATAGGTTTTAGATAAACAGAATTTCTGAAGAATATTAAATTCTTGTTAACAGAATAAAGCAGAGATGGGAAGTAACAAAGTACAAATACTTCGTTACTGTACTCAAGTAGATTTTTCTGATATTTTTACTTTACTTTACTACTTATTTTTATGGCGACTTT